TTCATGCGCTTAGGAAGCAGAGATGGGAGGATTGCTTTTCTTTTTTTTAAGTTCAAGGCCAACCTGGGCTACATAGCAAGACCAAAAAAAAAAAATTGTGTTTTCTTTTTTTAAATATCAAGAATTAGGAAGGCTTTGTGGAAAGCTAGACGTGAGTAAGCTCTGAGCTATCATATATTAGAGCCTCCTGATTCTGAGACCAAGGGGTTCGCAGGAGTAAAAAGCCTTGGTGGCTGTGGTTGAGGCAGGCAGAGCTGGATGGAGAACTGAACTTACTTTAAAAGATTTATTTATTTATATTATATGCAGTGTTCTGACTGCATATATGCCTGATCTTATTATAGATGGCTGTGAGCCACCATGTGGTCACTGGGAATTCAACTCAGGACCTCTTGTAAGAGCCTGTGCTCTTAACCTCTGAGGCATCTCTCCAGCTCAAAAAGATTTTTTTTGTTTTGTTGAGACAGGGTTTCACTGTAGTTTTAGAGCCTGTCCTGGAACTAGCTCTTGTAGACCAGGCTGGCCTCAAACTCGCAGAGATCTGCCTGCCTCTGCCTCCCGAGTGCTGGGATTAAAGGCGTGTGCACCACCGCCCGGCTGGAGAGCTGAACTTCATCTTCATCTGCAGACCCTCTTCAGGTGCTGGCGTCTGCCCCATTCCCAGCTCTAGAGAGTTGGAGGGTCCTGTCTAAGAATGTACCAAGGATGGAGATGTAGCTCAGTAAGTGCTTGCCTAGCCTGCACAAAGCTATGGGTTCTATCCCTAGCACCAACACCAGGAGTGCTGATGGAGGCATTCATTTCAGACCTGAGTGGGGAGTAGAGTCTGGAGGGTCAGAAATTCAAGGTCATCCCAGCTATTATGGAACACACACGCACACGCACACACACACGCACACACGCACACACACACACACACGCACACACACACACACGCCAGACAGGTCATGCCTCTTGTCTAGCTCCAGCCATCAGAGGACCCGTGAAAGCAGTCTTTCACCAGCCCTCCTCGGGGGACCTCCTACTACCTGGATAGAGACTCCTGTTTGGGGCTGGAGAGATGTTATACTAGGTACAACCAAGATCTGAGTTCAGGTTCCCAGCACCCACTTTAAAACTGGGCATGTGGCAGGGGGTGAAGGGGCAGAGAGAGCCAGGTCCTGGGGGGCCTTAGTTGCCAGGCAGTCTAGCTGAAAAATTGAGTTAACGGTTCTGTTGAAAGACCTTGTTTCAAAAGAAAGTGACTGAGGAAGGCATCCTATGTTGATCTCCACATGTGCTGGCTTCGTTATGTGTACTCCCCCACAGACAATACACGCGAACACAGATCCTGTTCTAGCAGCCCAAAGGAATTCTCAAATCTCCTCATATTCCTCTATGGCCATAACTCCTCACAACTGCTGCTTCTGGGAAACATAAGAATCTGGAGAAGAAAAACTGAAAGACCTCCTTGGTCCCACCCCAGCTTGTCCCACTTACTATTCCCTTGTATGCTAACTCTGATCAGAATTATCCTCTATCACCTCCTTTCCTGATGTCTGCAGCCAGGACACAGTCACCAGATGAGTTGGGTACTCCAGGCCCTACATCACTGTCACAGTCCTGCCTTCTCTACCCAACTTCACTGTTTGTAGGCTCTAGAGAATGAAATACAACAGCCATATTTTTGGTTTTGAATAAGTGAATTTATTAAGCCAAAGTAAAAGAATAAATAGCAAGTGATTAGTGGGACGTGGAGAGACAGGCGGGTACCTGGGACCTCCTAGCAGCCAGGCTAGCCAAAGAGTGAGCTTCAGGTTTTGTGAGAGACCTCGTCTCAAAAACTAGGTTGGAGAGTAAAGGAAGACACCTGATGGCAACCTTTGGCCTCTGCAAACATAAGCACAGATTCATACACACACACACACAATAAAGTGGATGACATAATGCTCGCACTTTGGAGAGACTACGAGATTTGGGGATGTCTGCTCAGTGATTCTTGTCCCAGGAACTGAGTACTGAGGACAGATACCAGGAAACTATAGAACTTCCACCACACCCCATTCACTAGCCTATTATCCTCCCTGCTTTTCACATACCTAACCTTTGTTCTTCTGAGAAGCTTTGCTGAAACACCCTCGCCTCCTCCCCACCCGACCCCCATAACTCCCATAATTCCCAACCTCAAGCCGGGACCCTACAGAGTATTCTGCCTGAGCAAGTGCTCAGAGGCGGAGGTTGACTTGAACAGACTGAGCAAACTCCTGGAGACTTGTCTGCAGGGCAAGGTGGCGCGAGCTACTGCTAGGCAGTAGCCACAGTTTTGTCACCTGAGTGATACCAGATATCATTACCCTGGCTGAAAGAGGTGGAAAGTGGCCATGGTCCTGAATTCCAGCTCTCATATTTCAGCAACCTGGGCTGCAGCCTCTCTTTCAAAGAACTCTTGACTGCTCCAGACACACCGTGATCATTTCTTTGGCCTTCAATCATTTCAGGCGTCTGGCTCCATACTTTAGTTTGAGCCACCTGGTCACGGTCATGCAGGCCACACAGATTGGGGAGACCCTTGGCGGCCATGCTGGGAGCCCACAGATCACCTTGCATGCATCCTTGCTCAGTCCCCCAGGCTCCAGAGTGGACAGTCTGGGGGATCACCAGCAGTCATTTAGGCCTTTTACTTGTGCTGGCTTTGATTGCCTACGTGTGTTTCTCGGTCAGTACATGTGTGTTGTGTGTGCGCATGTTGTGCATCACACATAGGACAGCTGTTGTGTGTGCGCATGTTGTGTGTCACAC